TCTCTGGTCCTTTGAAATGATGTCATCTTTAAAGCCTTTGTCATTATGTCGGCCAGCTGCTCCGCAGTGCTGCAACATACCAATTTAACTACACCTTCCTTTGTCAATTCTCTGAGAAAATGGTATCGAACCCTTATGTGCTTTGACTTTTCGTGCATGACTGCATTTTTTGACAACTTGATAGTGGACGTGTTGTCACAAAACAGAACCATCTCTTCATCTTGTTCATGCCCGATTTCTTTCAATATTCTTTTCATCCAAATGACTTGATAGGCACATGTAGCTGTTGCTACGTACTCTACTTCAGTAGTTGACAAAGTGACGATTGGTTGCTTCCTTGAGGACCATTCCACAGCTCCTCCACTCAATAAGAAAACATAGCATGAAGTGCGACTACTATCATCCACATCTCCCGCATAGTTACTGTCGGTGTAGCCTAAGAGTTCACTCTTTCCTTCACGTTGATACCATATCCCAAATTCCAGAGTTCCCTTCAAGTACTTCATGATTTTTTTTTACAATAGCAAAGTGCAACTCAGTAGGATTTGCCATAAAACGACTAATAAGACTTACCGCAAACATCAAGTCAAGTCGTGTGGCTTTGAGATACATTAAGCTACCCACCATTTGCTTATATAGCGTTGAATCGACCTTCACACCAACTTCATCTCGGCCAACCTGCTGTCTAGGGATTATCGGATTGCAAACGAAGTTTTAATTTTGCATCCCAAACCTCTCGATCAACTCAGGAATAATATTTTCTTTGACATATAAAGATGTCATCAGCCTTCTGCATCACTTCAATGCCGAGAAAATATCTCATCTTCCCCAAATTAGTCATGTTGAATTCATCCATCATGGAGCGCTTAAACTCATTCAACAACTCCTCATCATTACTAGTGAACAATAGATCATCAACATAAATGCTCACAATTAGAATTTTACCACCCTTTTGTTTGATGAATAATGTTTGTTCACTAGCGCTGCTTACAAAATCTTCCTTGACTATATAAGCCTCAATGTGATTTTACCACCCTTTTGTTTGATGAATAATGTTTGTTCTAGGCGCTTGTTTTAGTCCGTAAAGAGCCTTATGCAGCTTATAAACCATGTCCTTCTTCCCTGCTAGATCATCCTCACTGTATCCATTTGAGTCACTAGTGCGAATACCTCTGTGTAATCTACTCCGTACTCTTGAGCATACCCTTTTACAACCAACCAGTTTTGAACTTGTCTACCTCTCCAAGTTCATTTAATTTGGTCTTGTAAATCCACTTAACCCCAATAGCCTTAGCTCCAACGGGAAGTGCAGTTAGCGACCACGTGTGGTTCCATTCGATGTGTGTATTTAATTTGGTCTTGTAAATCCACTTAACCCCAATGTCCTCTTTGTGGGGGTAATGAAGAAGCCGGCACTCGGCGACGACGTGGAGGAGTGAACGGAGCCTACTCGAGATGGATCGATGTGTGTATTTAATTTGGTCTTGTAAATCCACTTAACCCCAATGTCCTCTTTGTGGGGGTAATGAAAAAGCCGGCACTTTGCGACGACGTGGAGGAGCCCCAATGTCCTCTTTGTGGGGGTAATGAAGAAGCCAGCACTCGACGACGACGTGGAGGAGTGAACAGAGCCTACTCGAGATGGACCCCAAACAATGTGTGTATTTTCACGCTTTACACTTTCTTCTACTTGAAACTTGAGACCTATGTGTTGTTAGGTCAACGCCTATTCAACTTGGCTTTTAATAAAGTTGGCTTCTCCGCAATGATGATAAAGTTGGCTTCTCCGCAATGATATACTACCGGTGGATTAAACCAGGCTGTGATGCCATTTGTTGACTTTTGACAATCAAAGAGAGGAAATGGTCGACCACAAGTAAAAAAGGGCGGAAGAAAATTTGTTGGAAAAAAAAAAGAGAGAGAGAGAGAAAGTAAACACTCAAGATGGATGGATTGTTATTTTCATTCGGTTGACCTACTTAAATAACCATCCTATCCTAAAATTAGCTGTAGTGACACAAATCTTGCAATACCCAAATGACTAGCAAAAACCTCCATTATAGCGTTAATTCACATATCAAAAAAAAAAAAAAAAAAAAACTAATTAAGTTTAAGAAAACGTGTGAATAACCTAAATAAGGAAAAATGATCGTTTTAATCCAACAGCCAACTCCATCAAAGGGGTCGCGATCAACTCAGAAACACCACGACACGAGACAAGGAAGTCGGACAAAGTATTTATCTTCACCTAGGCAAATAAATAGTGAAATTGATGTCATATCGGGGGCAAAATCACCTGCCACGAACGAATGTCATACGACTCAACTGGAGCTAGCTTAATTTTACAAGCAGTTAAATGACTTGCTTACAACTGGGTTCATTAGACCCACAATTACCCCTATTAGTGATCATTCAAGGGATGGGGAGAGACACCAAACCAACACTTATGTCGAAGGAGGGAGACATAAACAAACCTCTTTAACAACACATGGTCGCGTAGAAGTACCATCCAAACAGAGGGAGAAAAGGGTCGATCGGAAGCCTCAACCACGGAAGTTCCAAGAAGGAGAGAGAGTTTTGATTAATTTAAGGTCAAATCAACTTCGAGATCAAAACAACAAGAGTCAAAGACTAGTGAGAAAATACTATGGATCAGTCAAAGTTATCCACAAGGTCGGGAAGACTTCATATAGGATCCAATTGCTCCGATGGATGCGGACTAACCTTGTTGTCCACGTTAGTAACATGAAACGTTACTCTCCCGATCTAGAAGACGTCAAGCACAGAGAGGCGACACGACCTTACACAAAGAAGAAAAATCCACAAGCAAAAGGAAGCAGAAGAAACTTTAACTAAGGAGATGACAAGAGTCAACGAACCAATAAGCAGTTTTCAACAGTTCCTTACAAATTTGAAGAGACTCCACAATACCGTGATCAACTAGAAGCGCGTCGAAGAGACCTAAAGTCATCCTTAACCTACAACATCGAGTTTTCAAGAGACGATTTACAAAGACGTCAACCAATTGAGTGGGGGAGGATGTCACGGTTATGCTTGTCCAAGGCGTGTTGTCTATGGTCGCATGGCGGATGTCCTAGTCTTGCATGTCCGAGTCGGTTGACAGAGACGTCAACCAATTGACAAGGGAAGGATGTCTCTGTCATGCTTGTCCAAGGTTGTTGCCTATGGCCACATGACAGATATATCACTGTCTTGCTTGTCTAGGACATGTGTCCAAAGTTGCATGCCTGTTCCAAAAACTCCTTTACATGCTTTCATACTAGATAGGCCTTTACCATTTCATGTTGGGTCAATACGGGGACGGGGGTGTATTACTGTTCACCACAACCATGTCTACACCCCAGGGTTAAAATGCCCTAAAATATACTATAGGGGGATATAACTAGTTGTCACTTCTTCCTACCCTGAGTTATATGTTGTTTAAGCCGTGATATTTCTTAATTTGCTTATAGTCATATAACGTTGTTATCTTCAATTCTTCAAACTATTTTCAAGTGTATTTCCTCGCACATGTTTTCTAAATCTTTTCTCACAATGTGACTCAAGACCCGAATATTCGCCGCGTTGTCCGCAACGTTCGAGTTTCTCATGGCTGACTTGTTCGCTTGGTTAGAACAAGTGCAGTACAATCGTTATTCCGCTTTTGCAAGAGTACAATTGTGACACTCAGCTTGGTTTTCATAAGCTTTCTTTAGCCGAATATTCCTAGATTTAGCTTCATGTGATCCAATTTCACCTACGATATTTCATACATTCTATAATCGAGTTTAGAACCCATATGTGAGTCAACATCAGTTAATTATCCTAAAATAAGTCCAATACCATGCTAACTTTTATAAATTGTCTAAAAGCATTGTTATACTTAAGTTGTCATGAAGAATAGGTTCATGCATCTCCTATGCATGTATTGTCATTTATTTTGGTTCATAACTCTCATTTAGTTCATAACCCTTTTGATTCATATTCTCATTTATTTGTTTGATGTATAAGAATTAGTATTACTATGTCTATATAAAGATTTGTCTAGCATTATTTCGATGTGTGAAGTCATTGCCATTTTGTATTTGCCTAGAGGCAATTGTGAGGAATTTTGTTGAGAGACTTTATAGTGTGAGAGTGTGATCGATACACTTGTAAACACTTTGGTTATAGTGATTGACTACTACCCGTGGATACAGAAGAATTTCTTCTCTCTGAACCACGTAAAGTTTTGTGTTTCTTTGTTTAATTTTTGTTTGCGAGTGTGTGAGTGTGATCGATCTTTTTTCCTCTTCCCCTACAACAATTGGATATCTGAAAATATTTTGGTTGTGGCATTAGGGTACAATAATACTAACATTTTTTGGCCTCAATAAAGTTGAAAATGATTCTAGAATGGTCTAAAATATTCAAGCGGAGCCAATTGAAACCAAATAAAGTCGAGAAAGCGGAACAAAAGTTTTTTTTCTTCAATATGACTACAACAAGAAGTATATATATAGCAATCACCGCAACTCGCGACACTACATATATGTAGCGTCAAAACATGAGAGCAAGCATCTTTTAGCATGAAGGCACTACAATGGTAGTGTTGAGACATTAGATGCAACGTCTTAACGCTACTAAAACTTGAGCATGCTTCTTTCAATTTCTTGCTATAACATTATAATGCCCCCTAAAGTATCGTGAGCTCTTCCCTCGAGCTCATCTGTATAGTTTGACTCTATAAGTCTAAAAAATATATTCACATTTCTAACCGACATCAATCAAACATAAAATTTTCTTTTATGTTCATGTTACTCTAAACTTTTAATTGTTCTAAAAATCATCGATCATTACCAAAAGACTACATATGACCCAAAGAATCCAATCAACTTAACCCAAACCCATATTTAAGACTAATTCAACCCAAACCCATAAACAAGTTTTTGGATTTAAATTGATATAGAACATCAATAGATTTATCCTTTTATTTTTCCACTTCCAAACTTGTGGAGACCAAATTGGACCCGGTAGAAGCGTCAACAAGAAATCTGCCCTAAAATCCTCGTTTTAAAAAATTAAATTAAATAAGGAAGAGGAAATTATGAATGGAAGATTTGTGTTTAATCCCGCCTGGGTTTCTTAAAATCGCCGAATCAACCACGATTTCAATCGAACGAAGTAAAACCCCCGTTGCAATCATACACCTTCTGTGCTCACTCAGCTTGCAGCTGGTAGAACGATCTTAGGGTTGGTTTTTTTAATCAAATTGCTCTGTTCCATTCCATGCGTAATCGATTCCCTTCCTATTTCCGGATTCTGATTGATCCGGCGCTTTCCCAATGTCAACTGCAACAAACCCTTGTTGCCACTCTCTCTTCTTCCGCCATGCTCCTCCCAATTCTAGGTTTTCGATTAGGGTTCATTTGAAGCCTCTGCTCCCTCGTTTTCCTCTCAATTCAAGCACCCATTGCGTCAGTACTCTCTCCCGACGTCGCAGAAATGTACGCTCTCTCTCTCTCTCTCTCTCTCTCTATGAGCTTTGAAAAGGGGTTTTCGTTTTTTTCAATGGCTGTAGTGTAGAGTTCGTGTTGTTTGTTGCCTTGGATAAGAAATGATGTATGATTATTGGATGTCTTTTAATTTTCTTGATTTTGAAGCATTTTCTTGAACTTCTCTCTGCTATATTAATTCAAGTGGTAGCTCACAGCTCAGTTCATGATTATTTTCTATGGATTCGTGATTTTGACAGGAGGGTTATTCCCTCTTCTTTGTTGAATTGTTTTTCTTTGAAGAAATGGGAGATTGTGTGCTTTCGGCGTGAAGAGTCGTCGCAGGAACATTTCGAGTCCAAGTCTGTGGAAGATAAATTGGCAGAAGAACTGGTGCCAACTCCTGAAATCAATCAACCGAGTGACCCGAGAAAAGGATGGGCGTCGAGTTTATACAAGGTAAATGTATTTTCACATCATTTGAATGATTTTATACTCTTCAATTATAAAGGCAAGCTATAACCATGTTCTCCTAAGCGGTAGCGATGTATCCTGTTTACGTAAATCATTGAATGGAATATATATACTCATGTATGTATGATTTTAGTAGGAAATGTTAAACTTGAGGAAATAATATTGGATGAAGTAAATAAGACAAATGTGAAACCCAAAGTAGTAAATCAGAGGTTGAATGTACTTATTCGTTTGAAGTTCGCAAATATATATTTAACTGCTTTGGTCTCTTTGGGAACATCTGATTTTTAATATGTAATTACTTGAGCATTTCATATAGTTGATCAAACTTTGCAATAACCAGTGATAATCAGTGCAGTTGACTGAATAACATGGCCGAGAAAACAGGTTGATGTTTGTGTTCGATATGGGTCCTTTGAGATTTTTCTCTTACCTATTTTAATTTGGTAAAATTTTGTTCTTTCCAGATTTTCTTTAGCAGTTTAGTGAAGATTTTCTACTTTACTTTGCATCATGTAAAAAGGCAGCAACTCTCTTTTATTCTCTATAGTGTAGTGTTAGAAAAGGTGATCTTGGTGTTGGGGTTGGAGGTTTGCTCGAACAATTGTCTCATAGATGTGACAACTTGTAACAGCCCAAGCTCATTGCAGCTAGATATTGTTGTCTTTGGGCTTTCCCTTTTGGGCTTCTCCTCAAGGTTTCCCTCTCCACCCGATGTGGGAAGGGATCTCACAATCCTCCCCCTTTGGGGCCAGCATCCTCGCTGACACTTGTTCCTCTCTCCAATTGATGTGGGATCTCACACAACTTCACTTGATTGTGCGTAGTATTTTGTTGATTTCATACTTATTATCCTTGGTTGAATGATTCCCGGGTTTCCTCCATCTTCTCAATTGATTGATTTTGATTGTAGTGAATTATTTTGTTTCTTTGTTAGAAAAAGGTTTTAATAACTTTGGCATTGTCATTATTATAAAAATGTAGAGCGGTGGCAATGGCCAATGGCTGCGTGTGGTATTCTACCCTCCGAGCCGTTGTCTATGGCAAATGCCTCTAGCAAAAGGCAATTATTGTGGTTGCATTTGTGTTCATGAAGATAATTCTATGGCGATTCACATAAGTGGCATGTGGACAAATCCTCTTTTCCTTTTTATTCTTTATTTTGAACATTTCAAATTACCGACTAACATCGATATGTTTTGTTACAACCTATCAGAATTACAAGGGCCAAAAGAATTTGCACAACCTTGTTTGCTTGCCTTTTCTTGTGATTTTTCCCATTTGAGTAAAGTAAGCATCAAACAATTCTTCCAGGCTCTTATTTCAAGAAGACATCTCTCTCCTTTTTTTTACCTTTCAATTTACTAAGCTGTCATCAATATTTTACAATCTATCAGAATATTAGGTACCAAAGAAGTAACATATCAGTTATCGTTTATTCTGTTAAATGATATCATACTGCCTATTATTTATTAGAAGAATTTGTTACTATCATTTATTACTAGGCACCTTAAGAAGTACAATTTTACCAAACTATCATTGATACGTTGCCACCTATCAGAAAAAGAGGGAACAAAACAATATTTTATGAACTTTTTTAGCCTTGGTTCTTTCTACTGCTTTATACTGGTGTAAATTTCACATCCTTTTAATGATTACAGCCATGCTACTCTAATTTCGAGGTCGAGATAACTTTTGTTATCCACCTTTGGTGTCTTGGGCATTTCTCGTCTTTTGTATGCTTCATTTATCAATGAAATCCAATTTTCTTCTTCAAACATGGAATATGTATGAAATAATTTGCTTAGCACTTATCTTGTGATTATCCGAATAGAGTGACATCGAACAACAAACGAAAACTTATCTTTGGATTACGTCTTCTATTTCGTAGAGATCCCTTCTTCTTACCTGAAGCCTTGAACTAAAAAATCCACAGCCAGATTTGTTTTATGAGCCCCTTCGTTGTTGTTCTTAAGAGCCATGAGGGTGTTCTTCTTAGTTGTTGCTGTTGTTAATGACCGATCCTGCTGTTTTTCTCCACCCGGAAATTACTAAGAGAAAAGTTTCTGATGGACTGTACGCTGTTGGTGTCCACATTGGGATTTATTCACTTTATACTGTACTAAATCATTGTTGTGCCTCTCTTTTAACATTATGTCGTAAAACCTCCTTTTTCCTTTGCAAATTATTCTAGTTGATTAGTTTTCTATCTTTTTAATTTAGCGACTTTCACCATGTGAACAAGAACTGACTGACTTTAATAATTTATTTTTACCCCAGGCCCTTGAATCAATATTTGTCACAAAGCCTTGGGTGGTTCCATGGACAGCGAAAACCATTGTTCAGGTGATGCCTCGTTTTCTGCCAGTGATATACGTCAATATGTCTGTTTTTGGTATTAACATGGAACGTCAAGATTGTGTTGATATAACATTTGTCATGTATACTTGTTGCCGAAGTGAGCCCTGCAGGAAGTTGATATTAGGATTAGAAAGTCATGTGGAATTAAGTAATCAAAATGAATTAAAGAAGTTGAACTTTCTGATGATGTAGGTTATGCTTCTCTGGGTTGCTTCATTTTGGGTAATAGGGTCATGGATAATTCCTATAATAGCCCATACAGCAGGATACAGAAAGGAATTCATGACGTACAGAGGGCAAGCCCTATACAGTCTTCTTACAGATGTGGTCGAAGGGCTTACCGGGATGGCGATTCTGCATCGCTGCCTCTCAAGATTCCATCCCCTTCCACAAGGCTGGTTCAATTTCCGCTTTGAAGGGAAGTGGCAATTCGACGTTGGCTTAGGCTGCCTTATGTTTCCACTCGTAAATCGTCTTTCACAGGTGAATCTAAACTTGTTGCCAATTCTTCCCTCAGCTCCAGTTACCGTCTCAAGCGTCGAGCAATCAATCATTGCTAGGGACCCAGTGGCAATGGCACTCTATGCAGTGGTCGTGTCTGTCTGTGCCCCCATTTGGGAGGAGATCGTGTTCCGAGGGTTCCTTCTACCATCGTTGACGAAATATATGCCGGTATGGTGCTCTATTTTGGTGAGTTCAGTAGCCTTTGCTTTGGTACATTTCAATATGCAGAGGATGCTACCTCTGATACTGCTTGGGGTAGTGATGGGTACCGTGTATGCAAGGACTAGGAACCTTCTACCGTCGATGTTGTTGCATAGCCTTTGGAATGCCTTTGTATTCTTAGATCTTATGAAGTAAATGTTGGTGATTAGGCTGTAAATTTTGATTTCATAAAAGTTTATATTATGTCTTGCGTGGCCAAATTGAAACTTCCATCTCCATGGGTTATTCTGAAATTTTGTTTCACTAGAATCTTAATGCACTGTTAGTTCACAAAATTTATAGAAATTTCAACATGATATAAACTTCAGGTTATGAAACATATATTTAGTATTTATAAAATTGTAGAACATTGTTTGTTTAGGATAAATATGCAAATTTATTTGTAAATTTTGACCTTTTATTCTGATCCTTTAAAACAATTCATGCTGAATTACATAACTTCTGGAATTTTTATAGTTTGTTTCAAATGTATCATTTTAGGTTTTTTTTTTTTTTTTTT